TACGCGGTCAGCATGGTTCGAGTAAGTGATATTTCGGAACAGTATCTAGTTCCTTCAATACCAATATGTTCTAGTAATATGAATTTTTTTTTTCTGTGCTTGTACTCAGGTGAATAATATGTTTGCGATGTTACTCTGAGTGCATATCCACACCGGGCGAACTTGAAAAATATGCCCGGCCATGCTGGGATTCGAACCTACGACCTTTGGAATACTAGCCCAATGCTCTTCCGACTGAGCTACGCGGTCAGGACAGTTCGAGTAAGTGATATTTCGGAACAGTATCTAGTTCCTTCAATACCAATATGTTCTAGTAATATGAATTTTTTTTTTCTGTGCTGGTGTTGTGTACTCAAGTGAATAATATGTTTGCGATGTTACTCTAAGTGCATATCCACACCGGGCGAGCTTGAAAAATATGCCCGGCCACGGTAGGATTCGAACCTACGACCTTTGGAATACTAGCCCAATGCTCTTCCGACTGAGCTACGCGGTCAGGACAGTTCGAGTAAGTGATATTTCGGAACAGTATCTAGTTCCTTCAATACCAATGTGTTCTAGTAATATGAATTTTTCTGTGGTGGTGTTGTGTACTCAGGTGAATAATATGTTTGCGATGTTACTCTGAGTGCATATCCACACCGGGCGAGCCCGAAAAACATGCCCGGCCACGGTGGGATTCGAACCTACGACCTTTGGAATACTAGCCCAATGCTCTTCCAACTGAGCTACGCGGTCAGGACAGTTCGAGTAAGTGATATTTCGGAACAGTATCTAGTTCCTTCAATACCAATGTGTTCTTGTAATATGAATTTTTTTCTGTGTTGGTGTTGTGTACTCAGGTGAATAATATGTTTGTGATGTTACTCTGAGTGCATATCCACACCGGGCGAGCTTGAAAATATGCCCGGCCACGGTGGGATTCGAACCTACGACCTTTGGAATACTAGCCCAATGCTCTTCCAGCTGAGCTACGCGGTCAGGACGGTTCGAGTAAGTGATATTTCGGAACAGAATCTAGTTCCTTCAATACCAATGTTTTCAAGTAATATGAATTTTTCTGTGTTGGTGTAGTGTACTCAGGTGAATATGATATTTGTGGTGTTACTCTGAGTGTATATCCACACCGGGCGAGCTTGAAAAATATGCCCGCCCACGGTGGGATTCGAACCTACGACCTTTGGAATACTAGCCCAATGCTCTTCCAACTGAGCTACGCGGTCAGGACGGTTCGAGTAAGTGATATTTCCGAACAGAATCTAGCCTTCGATACCAATGTTTTCTAGTAATATGAATTTTTTCTGTGTTGGTGTAGTGTACTCAGGTGAATATGATATTTGTGGTGTTACTCTCAGTGTACCGGGTGGCCCAAAAAAAAGTACTCCTGTTTGATTCGTAATAACATCTAAACAAGTATAGCTTTTAAAGAGAAATAACTTGCATCAAATAGAGGAAGGACTAACTTAGACTTTGATATATTACAGTTGTATTTCACTTAAAAATTCACGGAGATATTAATCTTTAAATTCAGGAGGATATTTCTGGATGTGTCTGAAATATGCAAAAATCGGCGTATCAAATATTAATCAAGATTTGCCCGACTGAAACATGCACTATTACCAGTAAATAAATGACACTTGACAAATTGTTTATTATGAAACAAAGTATTATTATATCTACAAAATACAAGCAAAATTCATTCGTCCGAAATTCGCGTGTGTTCCTAGCACGAATACGTTTCCTTATTTCATGAGACCACTGCATCGCGAAGGATCGTCATTGGATCGTTCGTAGTTCTGAATTAGGGCATGCTGTCACAACGGAATTGTGAAGCTCTTCTAACTTCTAACATAATTTCGAACGTTCATATTTCAGGAAACAATGAGCTAAGACTTACATGTAAGATGTCTAAATCTACGCCATATCCCTTACAAACCTTAACGATAATTCGCTGAAATACAAGTTAGCCTAATATGTCATTAAGCAAACAAACGCTGGATTTAATATTTGATATGCCGATTTTCGCTAATTTTAGACACATTCCAAAATATGCTCCCCATTTTTAACATTAATATCTCCGTGAATTTTTAAGTTAAATACAACTGTAATATATCAAAATCTAAGTTAGTCCTTCCTCTATTTAATGCAAGTTATTTCTCTTTAAAAACTTTACTTGTTTAGAAGTTATTACGAATCAAACAGGAGTACTTTTTTTTGGGCCACCCGGTATATCCACACCGGGCGAGCTTGAAAAATATGCCCGCGGCCACGGTGGGATTCGAACCTACGACCTTTGGAATACTAGCCCAATGCTCTTCCAACTGAGCTACGCGGTCAGGACGGTTCGAGTAAGTGATATTTCGGAACAGAATCTAGTTCCTTCGATACCAATGTTTTCTAGTAATATGAATTTTTTCTGTGTTGGTGTAGTGTAGTTACAAAGTCACCACGTGGCTAATTAGCATATAAACCGGAGTACCCAGAGATAACCCATTGTGTTTATTATACTGTATTTATGACTTTATGTTTGACCCTAGTTAATGGAAAATGTCTTATTTTCATGCATTTCTTGCAAGTCCAAGTGAAATCACAAGTTTAAATCTTTTATTGCATCCAATGTCTTTGTTCTTTTATAAACAAACGTTTAGCCTCTTTATAATCGTGGAAGCCAGAAGGTTCTGTTGTCACAACCTCTTTGCTTCCCTTCTTTGACCCATAAATTATACTTTTTGGTGACCATCTTTTTCAGTCCATTTAATTTGCTAACACAAGGTAGGGCTTTATTATTAGCAATTGTAATACTTTTACCGGGTAAGAATAGATTGAAAGTTATCCTCAGTGCGGATTAAGTCCACTATCAGTGAGAAAACTTTAAAACAGGTCAGTATTTAAGTTCGTGCATTTTTTCCATGCAAAACGTGTTCGTTTCGGGTGGAAAGTCTATTGTGGTTTTGACAGGTAAATGGTGTGTCTGAGAATGTGGGTGAATTTCAACGGAAATAGAAGGGATTTTTTTTGCAGTTCACTGTCAAAACAGATGTAGTCAATGGTTGTATGTGCAATACGGATGATTCATATGTATACGACGGCCCAGTACATGTAGGCAGTAAATGAATGGCCGTTAATTAGTCCCATTTTCTGTAGGATAGGAAAGTTGAAACCATCTTCCTCTTGCATTTCCATTGCATGGGTTCCTAGCTCCTTTGATATATGCATTAAATTAAAGTCTCCAAAGATTATCAGATCATTACCCCCGCGCTCTTTCTTGCAAGTCCAAGTCACAAGTCATTTCTTGCAAGTCCAAGTGGCAAGTCACAAGTCATTACTCGCAAGTCCAAGTCACCCTCGTTCCCAGGCTCTTTGCTCTTGGGAAGGGTCACAAGTCTGTCACAGAGGTAGTGTCGCCCCATAGCTCCGCCTATCTTCTGCAGCCAGTGGCACTAACCGCTGTGTTTCCAACTGTAACGTGCCAAACCATCGGCAATTTCTGTGATCACAGTAGGAATTTTGCACAGGTAAATTCTAAGTTTTGAAAAATATATATGTAATATCATCATCATTCATTTCCTGATGATGACTATACAGGGTGTATAAAAAAAAACGGAGTCGTCCTAAATATCCTTATTTCTATCGTAAAGTAAACTACCATAGTTTCGTTTTGTGCTCAATTTAAAGCTTGTTTTTTCATCTTTCGAATGAAGGGTTTCTTGAAAATTTTGAACTAAGGCTAATCGCAATAAAAAGAATTTAGTACAGGCGCTCGTTTTTAGATGCTTCGAAATATTAATCTTCGAAGTCCCTTCGGGACTTAATTAAAGGTAGTTTGCTAAAATTCAGAACGTTGTTGCTTAAAACTTTACAATCGCCATTCATAATGCCAAAGCTAACAATTCCGGAAAGAACATTCATTGTTGAAAAGTATTTCGAAACAAAAAGCGTTGTTGCAGTGTTAATAAGACAATTTCAAATAGCTTTTCCAGGTCATCCAGGACGTAATCTTCATCGAGCGTTTGGCGTAATGTCAACAAATACCGGCTGCATGCATTGAATGGAAGAACCACCCCATAAAGTTTAAATCGAAATAAAGGAAACTTGGGAAGAAGAAGAGTTGTCTTGGATATGAGACAAAGAGCGAACTAGTGTGAACTTAGATATGGAGGCCACGTTGAGTAAATGTGTACTTCCAACTTATTTTTTTTTGGAACGTTTAAATAAATTGTGAATTCAACGCATCTACGTTTTTTAATTTTCATATTGCACTTACTTAAATTGACACAACTCGCCAGCAATAACTAATTCCAAATTTTATAAAATAAAGTATATAAAATAGCCGAAAGATCGCGATTTCGAAAGAATGCAAGTATAAACGTCTAACTTTCATATTCGCTTTGAAATTCACACTTCATGTGGGGACTCCGTTTTTTTTTATACACCCTGTAGTTTAGTCGAAACGTCGAAATAAATTTTCAAAATGCTTTCAATTTTCGGAGTATCTATTGTTTTGTATTTTAAGTTTTGAAGGATTTGTAAGAAATGTTTGAGGAAACTGACTCAGTGTTAAACAGTGAGACATTTCTCTCAAAAATTTCTTACAAATAATTTAAAACTTAGAATTTACCCATATAGGCGTACGGGGCTGATGTTTTCCTGGTGGTAGTTGCGCCCCTGCTCCCTGTCTCGTACGCCTATGTTTACCCATGCAAAATTCCTACTGTGATCACAGAAACTTTGATAGTGTAAATCAACCTTAATTAAAACGTTGTGACGCGCGCGTGGGGGACATACGGATGAGGGGATTTGCACTATTCGCATAAATACATAAATGAGTTACACAATTCGCGCTGTTGCGCATATATTAAACACTTCTAAGCGTCGTATGCGAGCACATGTTCTCCCCTTCGCATCTTGAATAAAACCACCAAGAAAACTGCATTGGACTCTGAGAATCCGAGGCTTTCGCTGTACGAGGTAAGATTAAGATTTTAGAAATTGTATACAGGGTAGAGATTGACTATAGTATATACGAACTGTGTTAATATTTCAAGTAAAGACCCAAAATTGAAACCATGAACCAATTACACTGTTGGGCCGGCAATGGTGTTAGAGGAACATTTTGAATGAAGTCAATGTCAAACATGATATCAGCAATATCGAACATCCAGTAAATAAATGTGCAAACGTAGCCAATAAATTGTTGAGCCAACTATATTAGACTGGTTTGTTGAGCACAATCAATAGAAGCGACGCTATTTCACAATCGGTGTGTGATCACGCTATCTCAGGCAAGTCACCACTCCCTTCAAAACAGTTACTCACAGCGTGGCAAAGTTTAAAACATGTTAAAGAACGCACTGAAGATTAGTTTGTAAGTTTGTGCGTTCATACGCAAGTTTCGTGACTTATATATTACAGTGTGATTTTTTGTTGAAGGGTTGTCATGTTGCGCACGTAATGGGGCCGGAATAAAATTATAACAATTATATAGTGAAATTATTGATATTATATCAAATTAAATAGTAATAATCTGCACGAGAATGTGTCCAGTTTTTCAGCTTGTAAACTATATAGTTATACACAGTAAGGCGACAGATTCCTCGGTAAATTCGTCATAATTCCAATTAATCATTAGTACGAATGAACAGCTTACATGCAAACACTAGTTCAACAAAGGAATTTTTCCCGCGGTTATTGAAGATGAAATTTCAATCTTGCGGACAATACGAAGACTAAGTATTGTATTTAAATGGGTTTTTTTTGCTGTAACATCTAGTTTGGTAACTTTTGTTAAACTTTATGTTATTATTGCGGAGAATGGCGTT